AACAAATTGAATGTTTAAATGGCTGTAAAAAGTTTATTTTTATAGCTAGTACAATTTTTTATCTGTTAATTATTACGTTTTCTCATAACAAACATATATTTTTTTGAAAATTAAAAAAAGATTAACTTTAACCAAAGTTATTGCAAATTTAGTGCAAATATATTACATTTTCCGTCTCTGCGCGCACCAATTTTACCATATCTCTGGTTCAATTGGACGGATTGAGACACACATCTCATTTTAAAACTTAAACTTTATTTTACAAGATAGATAAGTTCCATTTATTAATTAATTTATTTAAAAATTAATGGCAGCTTAGAAAGTTGTGGAATTTCAACGAAAATGCTGGCTTTATTGGTTTATAAAACATTTTTTGTTATTCAATTTTGATGAAAAGCCAAAAAAGTTACCGGTTATTGTTCCTCGCATCCTAACAATGATTTCATGCCTTGCTTGATTGCTAGAATGCAAAGAACAGTATCCGGTAACTTTTTTGGCTTTTTGTCAAAGTTGAATAATAAAACAAACCTTATAAACAATTAAAACCGGCATTTTCGTTGAAATTTCACAACTTTCTAAGCTGCCATTAATTATTAAATTAATAAATGGAACTTGCCTATCTTGTAAAATAAAGTTCAAGCCTTAAAATGAGATGTCGTGCGTCTCAATCCGTCCAGTAGAACCAGATATGGTAAAATTAGTGCGCGCGGAGACGGAAAATGTAAGATTTGCAATAACTTTGGTTAAAGTTAATTTTTTTTTAATTTTCAAAAAAATACATGTTTGTTATGAGAAAACGTACCTAACTATTAGCGAATAAATTGTACTAGCTATAAAAATAAACTTTTTACAGCCATTTAAACATTTAATTTATTGATAACAATTAAACTGACCACTTTCAGGCTTCGCGACCAAGTTTTTTTTGGATTCAAGAGGTCAAATATTGAAGAAAAAGTTGTTTGGAGCCTACGGAACCCTGTATGGCTCCTGGACTATATGGTGTACGTGCAAATTAAAAGTGGGTTAAAAGGTTACTGAACCACTGGTTAGCCTAGGTCGGAAACATGTACCGAGTTGTTTATTTGTCTCCGTTCGATTGTATTTTTATCTTCTATTACTTACAGTCAATATTTAAATACTACATACATTTCACCCTCTCTTTATAATTTATCTAGCGAGTGTTGGTTTTTTATGTTATTATTTCTGTAACGAAACTGAAATGGTTATGAAATGAAATTTAAATTATTTGAACTTTTGGAGTTTTGTAACTTCAATATTAAATTTTATTTAAAGTGAAACAGCTAATTTCTTTGCAGCCATAACAGTCACATTTGGTCAGATGAAAACTCGCACACTACTCGTCGGTTTAGGTTTCAGAGGAGATTTTCTACCTGAACATCTGAATGGGCCGTCGCGTTACTTTCAATTTTTAGTAGAATTGTTTGAAAACCTTCCCCTTCGGGCTTACAGCAAATGTCGTTGAAATATTAACATTATGATGCTAATAAAAACTGATTTTTGGCAAGGCATGCTCAGACCTCCTCTAGAGGTTCTTGCCGGACAACAATAACAATTTAATATGTTGATTGCATAAATAAAAAATAGTGTATAGCATTTTAAATTATTATTGGCTGACGTGAGCAAAACCGTTTATTTATTGTCTTTATATGAGCGAAAATATATAAATATGGCAACGTTGCATCTAGGGCGCGTTGTTCATATCGTAGCCGTGCATAATATTGTGAATAACTGGCTGACGTCAGCCGGTCAGTAACAGCCTGAAAAGGGGGTTAAATAATGATTTGAAAATATTTTTTTCAGCTTAAATATGCATTTAATTTTTTTTTAATCACGCCATCGTATTATACTTATTTTTCTCTATCTGCTCTTAAAATTAATGACATTATGACTGAATCACCCTGTATATGTACATATACAAGTTCGGAAAGTCCCCATGGTACATCGNCTTGAAAGGGGGTTAAATAATGATTTGAAAATATTTTTTTTTAATCACGCCATCGTATTATACTTATTTTTCTCTATCTGCTCTTAAAATTAATGACATTATGACTGAATCACCCTGTATATGTACATATACAAGTTCGGAAAGTCCCCATGGTACATCGGCCGTTACGTGAGAGCGATAAAGAAAGTCATAGAAATCCGTGCGATAGACAAGGATGGTTACATTGAAGGTGTTTCATAATCTTCACTATAACCAACCTTGTCTATCGCATCTATTGAAGTAGGAATTTTTTTCCCAATTTTCCCTCATAACTTTTGAATCACTTGAATCCGATTGAAGTGAAATTCGGAACACAAACACTCCTTCAAATCATACATAAGCTTCTTAGAAATGTATTTTGTGTGCTATCCCCTTTTCACTGCCACGAATTTTATTGAATATCTCAAAAACAAGGACAAAAATATCGGAAAAAAACAAGAGACGAAAAAGTTTCATAATTAATGAGTGGTGGTGTGCAGCTGTTTTATTGAAATTAATTAATTTTTTAAAAGTTTTGAAATAAGTAATACACTTCTAGGAAGGGTAGGTGGTTCAAACTTAAGAAGCTCGTGTAAGATCATAAGGAGTGTTTGTGTTCCGAATTTCACCGCAATCGGATGAGTGGTTCAAAAGTCGAGGGAAAAAACGGGAAAAAATTCCTACTTCAACGCCCTCTATCTCGAAAACGGTGCGGTTTAGGAAATATGTTTATATCATGAATGAACATTATTTCAACCTGTTCTATCGAGTCCTGAAGTTATCCAGATTAAACCTGAATCACCCTGTACATATATATTTTTTTGTATATTTTTCTGTTAATTTAAGTTGGTTTTCATATTTAAATACATTTAACAAAATTGGGGTAACATTTTTCTACAGGTGTTCCTGAACATATTTTACAAAATAATAATAATAATAATAATAATGATAATGATAATGATAATGATAATAATAATAATGATAATGATAATAATAATAATAATAATAATAGTAATAGTGACCAATCAAACAAACTGTCCTGGATCTTTATGCTTCTATTCCTTTTATTGAAAACGTTACCCCAAATTTGTTAAATGAAAACTAAAATTGATTATACTAATTAATTACCTTTTGCTTCTCTTGGACCATTATAGTCTTGAGAGAATTTACCATTCTTGAAAATCTTTAGTGTGGGATACCCACGAACGCTATTATTGATACAAGTTTCTTTACCATATTCAGTACAATCTACCTTAACTAAAGCCACAGGGGGGTTATTTCTGCTTAACACGTCAGCGGCTCTGGCGAATTCAATACTCAATTTCTTGCAGTCTCCACACCTAACATACAAATTATGTAGACGAATAAGTTCAAGGTTATCATTATTTGCCGAATTTTACTTTTTTATAGAAACATTTATTTAAAACTAAACGGAAACATTCAAACTCTGTTTTTTTATGAAATACTTGCCATGGTGCGTAAAACATCACNGTATTTTTAAAAAAGCAAAAGAAAGAGAGTTCCCTTAACACCATTTACAAAATTTACAAATTATATATGTACATATACAGGTTCGGAAAGTCCCCATGGTACATCGGCCGTTACGTGAGAGCGATAAAGAAAGTCATAGAAATGCGTGCGATAGACAAGGATGGTTTCATTGAAGACGTTTCGGCAAATGGACCATGTGGATTTTTCAGCCCTGTATTTAGTATATTTTTGTGTTAATTTAAGTTGGTTTTAAATAATAATAATAATAATAATAATAATAATAGTAATAGTGACCAATCAAACAAACTGGCCTGGCTCTTTATGCTTCTATTCCTTTTATTGAAAATGTTACCCCAAATTTGTTAAATGTATTTAAAAATGAAAACTAAAAATAGTTGTGGTAATATTCTATTAAATTAGGCACTTGATTATACTAATTAATTACCTCCTGCTTCTCTTGGACCATTATAGTCTTGAGAGAATTCACCATTCCTGAAAATCTTTAGTGTGGGATACCCACTAACGCTGTTCTTGTTACAAGTTTCTTTACCAGCTTCAGTACAATCTACCTTAACTAAAGCCACAGGGGGGTCATTTCTGATTAAATCTTCAGCGGCTTTGGCGTATTCAGGCTTCAATCTCTTGCAGTGTCCACACCTAACATACAAATTATGTAGACGAATAAGTTCAAGGTTATTATTACTTGCCGAATTTTACTTTTTTTATAGAAACATTTATTTAAAACTAAACGGAAACATTCAAACTCTTGTTTTTTTATGAAATACTTGCCATGGTGCGTAAAACATCACAAGGGCCGTATCATGTTGTGCCATTCTTGAGTCAAAATCATCGTCTCCAAATTCTAAAACCTTTGCAATACACGAGTGGCACAAAACGCAAATTAATAGTAATTTAAATGAGTACATTTTCGTTTTACTATAAACACTTCTTGCCGGCTTGAAAATTTTCTAATTCTGGCTTTACTTTTCACTTTGGTCACCTGCCACGAACAATTTCTTTCTGGATTGTGTTAAATTTACGTGGCTTTTAAATTGTGCATGTCGCAGCGTTGTCGATATTCTATTGGACGGCATGCGGCAGTATAAAATGTGTAATGTTTTAATTGGACACAGTTTTCTAATACGTTTCTTGAGACCTATAATTCTCCCTTCTCCGTTGAGTTGGCGAAATACCCGACGTCAGCATATGACGTGGTATCATCACGAATTATAGGTCTCAAGAAACGTATTAGAAAACTGTGCCCAATGAAAACATTACACATTTTATACTGCCGCTTGCCGTCCAACAGAATATCGACAACGCTGCGACATGCACAATTTAAAAGCCACGCAAATTTAACACAATCCAGAAAGAAATTGTTCGTGGCAGGTGACCAAAGTGAAAAGTAAAGCCAGAATTAGAAAATTTTCAAGCCGGCAAGAAGTGTTTATAGTAAAACGAAAATGTACTCATTTAAATTACTATTAATTTGCGTTTTGTGCCACTCGTGTATTGCAAAGGTTTTAGAATTTGGAGACGATGATTTTGACTCAAGAATGGCACAACATGATACGGCCCTTGTGATGTTTTACGCACCATGGCAAGTATTTCATAAAAAAACAAGAGTTTGAATGTTTCCGTTTAGTTTTAAATAAATGTTTCTATAAAAAAAGTAAAATTCGGCAAGTAATAATAACCTTGAACTTATNTTCACACCTGTAGAAACATGTTACCCCAATTTTGTTAAATGTATTTAAATATGAAAACCAACTTAAATTAACAGAAAAATATACAAAAAAATATATATGTACAGGGTGATTCAGGTTTAATCTGGATAACTTCAGGACTCGATAGAACAGGTTGAAATAATGTTCATTCATGATATAAACATATTTCTTAAACCGCACAGTTTTCGAGATAGAGGGCGTTGAAGTAGGAATTTTTTCCCGTTTTTTCCCTCAACTTTTGAACCACTCATCCGATTGCGGTGAAATTCGGAACACAAACACTTCTTATGATCTTACACAAAAACTTAAAAAATTAATTAGTTTCAATAAAACAGCTGCACCCCGCCACCTGTGCCTCATTAATTTTGAAACTTTTTCGTGTCTTGTTTTTTTTTTCAATATTTTTGGCCTTGTTTTTGAGATATTCAATAAAATTCGTGACAGTGAAATGGGGATAGTAGCACACAAAATACATTTCTAAGAAGCTTATGTATGATTGTAAGGAGTGTTTGTGTTCCGAATTTCACTTCAATCGGATTCAAGTGATTCAGAAGTTATGAGGGAAAAATGGGAAAAAAATTCCAACTTCAATAGATGCGATAGACAAGGTTGGCTATAGTGAAGATTATGAAACATCTTCAATGTAACCATCCTTGTCTATGGCACGGATTTCTATGACTTTCTTTATCGCTCTCACGTAACGGCCGATGTACCATGGGGACTTTCCGAACTTGTATATGTACATATATGTATAATTTGTAAATTTTGTAAATGGTGTTAAACAAACTCTCTTTCTTCTGCTTCTTTAAAAATACTTCACTACAAAAGTAAATTTTACTTCTTAATTAGAAAATTTCTNATCGAGATGATTCCAAAAATTCCTAAAAGTACGCATCTAACGAGTAACCATATTTTATAGTATACATCTTAATTTCAAATCGGTGGTTCAAATATTTTCAAATTTGTCCGTCATTGTCGACTATTTTGATTTTGTTTACAAGTTCGCGCATGTTCATATGGCTGCTTTAATAAGATTTTAAAGTGATCGTAAACATAAACGTTAATATATATTATTGTTAGTAGTTACAAACAAACTTTCAAAACGAAACTTAAAGCAAACAAGAATAACATCTAATTTTATCACTAACCGATATAATGAATATATAATATTGTAGGTACTTTGTATACAACAATTACATAATAGTATATTATGCAACGATCATGTAATGATGGTTATTAATACACGAGCATTAACCGGGATACGAAACGAGCCGAAGGCGAGTTTCGTATGGTTTATGCGAGTGTATTAATAACCATTACATGAGAGTTGCATACGCTATTTTTTCTACACCCGATAAATAATCAAAAACCATAAATTTTATATTTTTATTGAACACAATAGGTAACAGTAATTATTCGTATTTCTATAAAAAAAATCTACAAAATTGTAATTAATACCTCGGGTATTGGTATTGCCATAGATACAAGAAAACTATAAACATTTTATTTGTATTTATATTCAACATATAATAATTGTAATTAATCCGATTTCTTAAAAATATTAAGATTATTTATTGTGCAGTTTGAAAAGTTTATTCCAGGTCCCACTGATCTGGAAGTGGAAGGAATATTTACATTTATTTCATTATTGCTAGTCTCAATAGAGTTCAATATTGTATTGGAAATGCTGATTTTATTCTGAACCGAATTTTCAATGTAGCCTTCTGCCACTGAATTGGATTTCCAGCCACCATGGCGTTTTAATGTAGTAATATCACCACCGGCATCTACTAATACGGTTGCAGATGTCCTACGAAAACAATGCCCTGTATATAAATTCGGATCAGGCAGATTTAAATATGTTGCTATTTTCTTCCCTATATCACCAAATTTATTAATACCAATGTTTTGAATTGTGCATTTTCCATTTAAATAATTAACGAAAAAAGATGGGGTGGGGCAAATTTTAGGCCGTAGATTCATATATTTTTTACTAATTTCGTAGTATTTGCCGGTAATTGT